CCAAATAGGGCTTTTAGCGAAGATTTTGAATATATTGGCCAGTGACAATATGTTATACTCAATGGCGCTATTTTTTATCGTCCATCTATTTTAAGAGAATTTTCTTTTCAGGATCGGCCAGAATCGCAATGGAGACTGGTTCGTCTCAGCAACCGTGAAGCAGCCTTGGCTTTGGATAACCTAAGAAGCTCCACCGAGTACTATGTGAGAGTCAATATCCGCAATAATGACGGTTCGGTCATCAGGGCTCCTTCCATTTACCGATTCAAAACTATAGGTGAGAAGAAGTTACAGTACTGCTGGAATGCCGGTGGAAATGTGTTGTTTTAGGGTAATTATCCAGTGCAGCTTGTAGTTGGATATTTACATTGTTAGAAGTGAAGCAGGAGGTTTTTAATGAGCCCATTTGGGAATTGAAAACAATGCATTTTTTTCGTCAACTCTCGTGACATGGCGCAAAAAATAGGGAACACTAATCTCAATTAGAAAAAGCTGCTATTTTAGAAAACTATGAACTCAAATCTCTTAGAATTTTAGTTATTGCACACCTATAAATCAAGATATTTCCACCAAAATTTACTGATTTTTTAAAAGTATTTTGTTATTAAACGCATTCTACGGCGATTGATTTCAGATTGGCGACACTCGTCAAGAAATCATGTGAACCCGTTTGAATGATTAACAGCATATTTATCTTAAATAAATGTATTTACACTGAAAGTTGTGAAAGCTTACCAGAAACATCTTACTGTGTAATTGGACAGAAGGACTAATATGCATGCCTCCATTATAAGTGCCAAGTTTATGTCTTCTAAACTTCTACTTAGGATGGCGCCACATAAAATGAAAGCGAAAATTGTGTTTTACTACAATCATTATAAAATTAGGTTAGAAAGGATTTTTTCCCTATACCTCCAATTTTTGGTTTAGCTGATAGGGATAGCGGCGATTTTGAAGGAAAAGTGTGTCAAGACCAAAACTCTGACTGTATTTCTGAGTTCTAAAGATTTTTTGAATGGGAACATGAAAATTTTAGAAAACCCCTGCAGTTTTTGGAAAATGCAGGACATAAGCATATTTTATGTCATTTTTTTGGAAATTCTTAAAAGAGAACCCTTCTTGCTCAATATATTGAGTCCACACTTTTCATTCAGAGGTTTTAGAAACAAGAAATGGCCTATTTTCCA